TTGGGACGTCTATTTTTGCTCTGTGTTATGGTCATTTACACTGCTCCCTTCCTCCCACCACATACACCGTTACACTATCAGCTCTGGGAGAAAGAAACCATATTAATTGATTTCATGTCCCCTCTAACGTTAACCTAGGGCAGTAAAAATAGGCAGCCAGTAAAAGACTGGCTAATTTGAATGGAAGAGTAATGGTCCTCCCAGCACATCCCAACACCCTGTGTATGTCTAGATGTGTCATGAATGCAGGAAGTAAACACATCCCTGGGGTGTCACAGTGTCCCAGATGACCAGGCACCCTGGGAATGAATGGGGCTCAGGATCGATTCATTTTCAAGACTCTGAAATTAAAAATAGAACATGGAAGGAAAAATGAATTACTGGTAGACAGAACAAAGAAAGGAAGAGTGTTAGAGATCACCGTGCTGTGTTGGCCTCGGCCAGCAAACTTATCAAGAAGATTTAGGCTTCACTGACTTTGATAGGACTAAATCTCATAGTTTAAAAGAACTATCCAACTCCAGATTGAGAAATTCTTCTCAAGAGGTGTGACTGACATCAGTTTTAAATAAAGACATATGGTAAATGAGTCACTTTTCCTCAGTTAAGAAAGACCTGTGATTTCCAAATAGCTTTGATCTCCATGAAGGCATCTCATTTTCTCTCTGCCAAATAAAATTACATCACATTAAATTTAAAATAATATAGTTATAGAAGAGTGAGTAAAGTAGATATTGATTTGGGTTAATGGACATTGTTGGAAAATTCTCCTATGTGATATAACTATCTTCCAGAACAAGTCATGGGGCAACAAAAGAAAAAGAAATAGTTACACAGGCCCAGCTTATGCACCCAAGTGAGGGTCTGATTTGCATCTGTAGACAGTCTGTTACATACAGCACAGGTTTGCCTCAGAGCCAATGCAAGCAGAAAGTTCCCATAGATTTCAGGGGAGATGCCCTGCTTGATTTGGCCACATATGGAGCTCTGAAGTAGATATAGGGCCAGAGAAGGGAAAAAGGAGAACCCGCTGAGCCTCCTAGGATGGCCTTGAATGTCCTGCAAGTTTCTCTTCCACGTGTGCCAATGGGACTTCGCCATCCTCTATGTCAGCCAAAGGGGTTAATTTGGGTGAGGGGCTAAGTCAGGGTTCTGAAGTCACCCACCCTGGGCAGCCTTCACTCACCCTTTGTCTATGGCTCCCTTACAAGGGGGGAGTCCTGAAGCTTCCTGCTCTTTTTATTTTGTGCTTTATCACATTCACCTTCAACTGTGGTGCACACTGGGCCTCAGAGTCATTGAGGCCCAGATCTTGTATTTCAGTGAGGCCTCTCTTACTTCCTGCATCTGTAACTGCCCAGCAAACGTATCCACTTATGTGAGCAATCACGACTCCAACTCAGCAGGTCTCATGCATTCTCATCTTCCCCCTTGTAAGCAGTCCTCCTTCTAAGTCCCTCTTTCTTCTGACCAACACTACAATGATGCTCTTCAAAAATACTTCTATATCCTCTTCCTTGACCTCACACCTAACCAGTTACAACATTTTATCACATCTTTTTCATGAGGATCTCAGTCCTTTTTGTTAGAGTCTGGACACATATAGGAAGTAAGGAAGCCCCTTGCACAGATGTGGAAAGAACCAGGAGGTGGATTTTAACTGGGTCAGGAGGTAACCAAGAATGCTGGAGACAGCTGTGGTCCAAAGGTCATGCACAGAACAGAACCAAGAAAGGGAGCCAAAGCTTGGCACTAGAATACAAAGATCGCCATCCATCAGACCTACAGGACTGGTGTGAGGACCTGGAGGGAGGTCAAGAAGTCAGAAGCAGGGACGGGGTCTGTCTTGTTCATACTGGAAACTAACACGTTGCCAGTTCATGGAAGACATCCAGTAAGTGGCCTATATTCCCAAATACACAGCATTTGTTATAACCTTTCCTTCACCTTCCCTTCAAGACTTCACATTAAGCAATGCTTTCTCATTTTCATCATTCTAAACCACCAGGTAGCATTTGGGGAAGACACATTAGACAAAAGCAACATCCGTTAATGTTAGTGTGGCTTGTCTAGAGAGTAACCTGGTATAATGGATAAATAAGGAGTCAAGGAATTTTAATAAGATTTGATAATATTTTGTGAGGTTTAACTTAACAATTCAAGTGTAAAATGTCATTATAAAATGAGTTTTTGAAATTGTTTTAAAAACATGTAGATTAAAAATATTCATCTACCAGATAGATTTTTTTTTGATTACCACATATTTTGTGGCTTGTGATAGAACTTCCAGTGACTAAGTCACAAAGAGGTTCCAAAAATACTGCATCTCAAACAGTGTGGAGGAATGAAAGCAATACAGTCTAGAAAACTGTTGGTGGAATCAAATGGCGCTTACAGTATGAGAGCGGGAAAAGCAGTATTTCTAATTGGCATCATTTTATATAATGCATCATTCTAAAAATTCATGTGTAAGCTAAATTAATAAAGTAAGTATGAGTAGACATTTGACAATTTCCCCTAAATCACTAAAAGTTATACATTCCAAGTGGTCAAAACACTTAAGGATCATCTTATTGGGAAACTGGGAATCTGATGACTGCATTATATTTGTTGAATAAAAAAAATGAATGGATGTGTAAATATTTATTAAAGATAAAAACTTAATTAGGAGCTTTGGGAATAATTTATTCACTAATGCACTGAGCAAAAATTGCGCTACTATGTGTAAACCAATTAAACAGGAATAAGAATGGTTTGATATTAAAAGTCTACTTTCCACTGGAATGTTGGCACCTAGAAAAAAAGAGAAATATTTTCTTTAACTTTATATTATGAAAAATTTTAAATATGCCGAAAAGCAAAAAATATATGAGAATAACCCATATAACTCCCATCTGGATTCAACAGTTATTAACATTTTCACAAAATTGCTTTTTTGTATATGTATAATTTTTGATGAATCATTTGAAAGAAAATTGCATCTTTACTTCTCTTAATACTTCAGCATGCATCTACAAAGATTAAAACATTCTCCCATGTAAGTATAATGCTATTATCACTCCTAACAAAATGAACAATTCCTTAATAATATATTTTTTCAGTCCACATTTGGATTTCCAGTTATTCAAAATATGTATTTTTTACCAGGTTTTTTACAAAAACCAAAAAAACTAATGAAAGAACTCACAGTAACTTTGTTGTCTCTTAAGTCCCCTCCCCACCCTTTTTTCTTTTTTCCAGCTTGATTGAGTTATAATTAATATATAAAAACTGTATGTATTTGAATTGTATGACGTGATTTGATATATGTGTACGTTATGAGATTATTACCACTGTTAAGCTAATTGACACATTTATCACTTCACTTAGTTACCTGTGTGTGTATGGGAGGGGGGTAATGAGAACATTTTAGATCTACTGTCTCAACAAATTTCAAGTGTACTATACAGTATTACTAAGTATTGTCACCATGTTGTACGCCAGATCCCTAGAGCTTCTTCATCTCAAACTGAAGGCTTGTACCCTTTGAACAACATCTGCCCACTTTCCCCACCCGCCCTACCCCTGCCCCTGGCAACCCCCACTTTTACTCTCTGTTTCTATGAGTTAAGCTTTTTTAGATCCCACCTATAAGTAAAATCATGCAGTGTTATTCTTTCTGACTTATTTCACTTAGCATAATATACACTGAGTTCACGCATGTTGTCACAAATGACAGAAATTTCTTTTGTGTGTGGGAAGCTGAATAATATTCTAATAACTATGTGTGTGTATGTATACACAGACCACATTTTCTTTATCCATTCATCCATCGATGGACACTTGGGTCGTTTCTGTTATCTTGGCTGTTGTGAATAATGCTGTAATGAACATGCGAGTGCAGTTATTTCTTCATGATACTGATTTTATTTCCTATGCATATATACCCAGAAGGAGATTGCTCCATCATTTGGTAGGCCTTTAATTTTTTGAGGAATTTCCATACTTTTTTCCATAATGATTTTAACAAGTTACATTCTCACCAATAGTGCACAAGGGTTCCCTTTTCTCCACAGCCTAATCAATGCTTCTTACCTTCTTCCTTTTTGATAACAGCCAAGCTAGTAGGTGTCAGGTAATATCTCTTTGTGACTTTGATTGGCATTCCCTGATAATTAGTGATATTGAGCGCTTTTTGTGTACCTGTTAGCCACCTGTCTTCTTTGGGAAAATGTCTGTTCAGGTCCTTTGCCTATTTTTAATTGGGTTATTTGGCCTTTTTGTGTTGTATGAGTTTTTTATATCTTTTGGCTATTAACCCTTTATCAGATATGTGTTTGCACATGTTTCCTCTCATTGTGTTTCCTCTCATTCCCTTTTCATTTTGTTGATCATTTCTTTTGCTATGCAAAACTGTTTTATTTTGACGTAATCCCGTTTGTTTATATTTTGCATTTAAGAACCAGGCTAGTTGTGACGTAGAAAGTTGCACATTGTGAATTATCTGATTGTTTCCTCATGAATTAATTTACCTGGTATTTCTTGTGAAATAGAATTTAGGTACTAGAGTTTGCTTAAATTCAAGTGAAATATTTCATCAGTGTATCGAATATCACATCATGTTAAGGGCACAGAATGGTGAGCTTTTCTAACACCTGTAATGTAATATAACCACCTGGTTAAGGTTGTAACCCCAGGTTTGTGATTGGGGGAGTAACCTACAGAGTCACAGTTTGGCATCTTGCAAAAGCCCTACTCCTTATTAACTTTTTCACTTAATGGATTTGGAATCTGTTGATAATTTTTGCCTGAATCAATTATTTCATTAGGACTTGTAAAATAAAATGGACTTTTCTGATTAGCCTCTTCAATGATCAGTATCTACTTTTCTCCAAGCAGCTTTTACAATCTTAAATTAAATGTGTTCTTGAAATGTAAAAGGTTGAAAGTCCAAACTTTGAAGGATCAGAGTTTATTGTAATGGGGGAGTTCTAACCTTCAATTTTCTTTTGTCTTTCCAGCAAAATGGAAATTCCAATTTCTATAAGCCAACAGTTGAATCCTTTGAAGAAGTACTTCTTTATGCTGTGGTTTTAACTTACATGGGATATGGAATTAGAACACTGTTTAGCGATCTCAGAGATTTTTTGAGAAACTATGGTATAGAAAAATGCAAAGCAGCTGTAGAGCGAGAAGAACCAAAGGTAGCACCTCCCTGGATCTCTGTCAATGCCTGTGGTTCTTGAAAGTGTTCTCACAGTGGTGAGCATGTTCACATCCTAAAAAGAGTGACACACTTAGGAAATATTTAGTTAATTTTACTACTCTGTACCCTCTAGAACCCTCTAAATATCCCTTGTGTATTCATGGACTTATTTTTCACAAGTATGTATTGAGCAACTACTATTGGCCAGATTGAACTAAGGGTTTTCTTGTACATTATTATATTTATTTTTTATAATAACCTCATGAGATATATATTATAATACCATTTTAAAGATGAAAAGTGGAAATATAAAAAAGGGCATATCAGTGCTCAGATCTTCTGGTTGTAGGTTGAGTATTATGTTCCTGGAATAGAAAAGTAGGTTTGAATGAAATGTGAGATTGTAATTTCATCTACATCAGAGTTTCTCAACTTTGGCACTATTGACATTTTAAACTGGCTAATTCTTTGAAGTGGGGGCTGCCCTGTGCACTGCAGGATTTTTAACAGCATTCTTGACCTCGACCCACTAGATGCAATTAGCGCTCTGCCACTTACTTATAATCAAAATAATCAAATAATAATCAAAACGCCTCCAGACATTGCCAAATGTCTCATGGAGTGCAAAATCACCCTCAGTTTAGAACCACTGATCTAGATCCTTTCAGTAGTTAACTTATAAAAGCCTACATCATCTCTTTTTCACACAGAGCTAACAGGACAATCTGGAAACTACTCAGAGATCTGGGAAGAGCCTGTGTCCTATTAACATGTTTTCCAAAATTGGTTCATATGATTTATGATGACATGAATCTCTTTTTCCCAAAAATTGCTTTGGAATATATGACTATGGGCATGGATTATCCTACGTGATGGAGCCGTGAGCACATCCAAGCAAAGAACATAGGTGAGACATGGACTTCCATGTAATGAGAGAACCTCAAATCCTGTAACTTAGTGACTAGTACCTGCAGGAAGATAAACTCCTGCATAAAGTAACACAACCATGAACAAATCATGCAGAACACTTATTTTGAAAATTAGCTTAGGTCAAGCACATCGCCTTCACAAGGAAATCAGGCCCAGTTTTATCATTTCACTCTCTCCTACCTTTAGCTGGTATTTGAGCACATGCTCTACACCAAGTAAGGGGTGCTAATAGAGAAGAAACGAGAAGTCCTTCATCAGAGAATTTGAAGCCTGCTGTGTAAAAACAGACTCTTGAGCAACACAAATGATAAAAGTGATGATGAAAGGGAAGGTGATATGGGAAAAAAGGATCTGTGCCCTGTGATTCCTTTAGGAAGTCAGAAAGGCATGATGCTGAGACTTTAATGTGAGCAGGAGTCTGCTGAGTAAGCAAAGGTGCAAAAAAGACACTCTTGAAGAGTCAAGTCAGATTTGTTTTGAGCATGTATTTTGTGCAAGACACTGTGCTACAGTCTGGAGATATAAGAATAACTAAGGAGATATGGTTCTTACCTTCATAAAGTTAACTATAAAAAAAGCAATTGCAACAGAATTTGATAAGAGATAACATAGAGGTAAGTAGATGACATCAAGGAAGCAAAGAAGAGAAACATTTAACCTGAACTTGGTGTTCAGTGAAGGCTTCTGGGAGGAAGAGGAAGTTAAATTGACACCTAAATGCTGAAGAGTAAGTAGTAAGATAAAGGGTGAGGCAAGACGTGATGGAAGGCGTTATTAGGGAGAGGAAATATGGTGCAAAAGAGCCAAGAAGTAAGATAAAGCATTGTCCACTTAAGGAACCAAGGAATTCTAATAACCAGAATGTTGCGAGCGAGGGTGGGAGGGTGTGGGGAGAAAGATTGTTTGAGAGGCAAGCAAGAACCACACTACAATGGGTTTTTATAAGCCATGGTCCTTTATTACAAGAACAAAGGGAAGGCATTGAAGGATTTCAGGCAGAGGAGTGTAGATTTGCAGATTAGAAAGATCACGTTCCCTGCCCTATGAAAGATGGATTACAGGAGGACAACATAGGGACCAGAAAACTAGCTATGAGGCTGAAGCAGAAATCCCAGTTTAAAAACAAACAAACAAACAAACAAACAAACCTGCGCACACGGTAGTGATAATAGGGATGGTAATAATAGACCAAGCCAAGAGATGTTTAAGAGATGGATTAGGGATGATTGACTTGACTTGGGGAATTAGGGAGATGTACAAATCAAAGACCCCACTAGGTTTATGACTTAAACAACTGGGTAGAAAGAAGGTGGTTTCATTCGTTGAGATGGGGAATAGAGAAGGAAGGGTCAGTTGGAGGGGAAAAATGGTCTATTTAGTTTTTCACGAGTTGAGTTTAAAGAATTGGCAGCTGGATATAGAAGTCTAGACTTTCAGAGAAAAATCTAGAGATGCCCAGAGATGGACACTGCGGTACCTTATGCATATCTGAGCATGTTAACAGTAATCAAGGCCACAGAAGCCAATGAGATTTCCCAGGGAAGTTTCATAGAAGGAAAAAGATAAAGGGTGAGAAGAGAACAAAGAACTTTAGAGAATTTAATGAATGTTAGAGATGGAATTTCAATTCAAGACTGAAAGCAAAGTGATGATAAAAAGCCTTATAATTGTCTAGGAAGAGAGAATTTGTGCTTGAGATGGGGAAGAGGGAGATGGAATGAAGGAAAGGGAACTAATTAGATACATTGGAGGTAGAATCAAAAAGTTTGGTGCTGGACTGTATGAGAAATAAGACAGTGGGAGGAGACCAGGACAATCCAAAATTTCTACTTGGGTCAGACACAAGAAAGAATGGTTGTGGCACAGCCACAGCCTGTATTTGGCAGAAAGATAGCCACAGGTAGTTTTGAGAATATGAAGGTTCTTTAATGATAAAGGACTGAAATTGTTAAAGCAAGCTGGAGACAGCCCAGCGCACTTCCAGAGAAGAATGCAGGTTTCCCAGATCCTAGCAGAGCTGATAGTGAAACTGGAGAATTGGGATGAGAAAGTAAGTTCCTTTTGGCCATTTTCATAAGGATCTCCACAGCCCTTCCCTGCCACTAGCTGGTGTGTTCTAGAAGCTCTCATCACCAGTCTGCCTGCTCCCCAGGCATAAGTAACTGGTGCACAATAAATCAGCACATTCTAGAATACTTACTGGAGCACAGGATAAGTCAAATGTACATTTCTCAGACGTAGCATCCTTGGCAGGAACAGGCTTTATAGCTGCCATCTATTTTCCAATATATTGCAATATTTTTGCTCTATCAGCCCAGCAGGGCTTGTCATTTTGGTTTTTCTAAAATGTTTCTTACATTTCAAGCAGAGTGCATGTGTGTGTGTGTGTGTGTGTGTGTGTGTGTGTGTACGTACATATAAACATACATGTGGCAAGCTGGTTGTCAGGAAACAGTCTCTGAGATGGAAGGCTGAGGGCTGAGAGGTGAATGGGTGTGCTCCTGGAATCTACACTTAGACACCCATAAAGAATGAAAGGGGCAAGATGAGGCAGGTGAATTGTGACACAGTCCCAGCGGAAGCCCCAGGGGATCCCACAGGGCTCTCTGGTGATGAGAGGGCCTTTCAGAAGCATTCTTAGTTAAAGGAAGAGGTGGAGCCTTCCATGATGCTAGATGGGGATGCCACCAGAGAGGGATGTGATCTTGAGCCCGGCAGTTCCCTGCAGTGAGCTGTCAGGTTCCACACTCCCCGCATCTGGGGGTGAGGTGCTTGAGTCCTAAATGATGGACGTACACAGTGCACAGCTGTCTGTACGCAACACCTGTCACTATTACCTCAAGAGCTGTTGAACCACTTCCCAGGAAGAAGGCAATGCATTAAATAGACCTGTGTCTCATAGTTCTTTACAAAATGAACAATTTCCATCCTGTTTGATCTCTGTGAGGTAGAGAGCATCAATCAATTGTCTTGCCTTGGTAAATACATCTTCTGTATAACACACTTGTTATGATGTGTTCTTCCCTTTTGAGCTGCTTTAGAGATTGAGAACCATTCGGAGTAACAGGTTCTAACAATCAGCCATGGCTGCAATCATGTGTTCTTTTTGGCGAGACTTGTCTTCAGAGTGGGCTTCTCCTTGTAATGCTGCCCCCAGGCTGGACTTCTTGCTGTATGCTAACAAGCTATCTTAGGCGTATCTTGAAGTCTCTTTCTTGAAACATGGAATGTGCTGCTTTACAACGATCCCTGGTTTTTTGTAGCAGAAATGAGTGTTATTTTAGTCTAAAATCTGGACACTGGGCATGCAGAATAGATTTTCCCATCAGACAAACCAGCCCTGAGCAACGTGACACCAGGATAGAGAGCGCCTCCAGGAAGGGCTGGTGGAGAGGAGCTCACGGGTGTTTTACAAAGACCGTCACTGGATGCTCTCATGTCCTATGACACTCATTTACGCTCATTCTTTTCATTTTCAAATTGTTTTTCATAAAGTTGTATAGATTTAGTGTGTACAATAGGATGTTTCAAAATACACATATGCAACGAAAAGGTTACTACAGTCAAGGTCATTGTGATGTCTGTCTCCTCAGTTCTTTTTCTTAATCAAATAGAAGAATTTATGAATCCACTTTCCTTCTTGTCTCTCTCATTGTGATGACTCCTCTCATACCAAACCAGCCATTCAAGTAAAATGTTGCTCAAATTTAGAATCTATTTTTCCTATTTCTACTCTTTGATCTCTAGCCCAAACACCTGGAAACTGATTCCAAAACATGAAAGCCTTGATAATCGTCTTTATCTGAATTACTTGATATCTGATTCACTCAGTTTTTACTGAGTCAACCAGTAATGCTAAGTAAAAAGAATAGACAAACCAAAGTCTCCCTCCAGGAGAGCACTAAGCAGAGCACAGAGAGCATGCATCCCAGAGCCCCTGCTGCCTCCACAGACTTCAGAGGTAACCAGAGCATACTAATGAGGGAAAGGACAACACAGACAGATACAACATTAAATATTTTGCTTTAATTTTTCCTTTAACCCTTCAAAGGCAACTCTAGAGTTGAATTGCACTTTATTAAAGACGTCTAGATAAGTTACTTTCTCAGTGATATAATGGCCCAACTTTGCTTAATTCTTCAGAATTAAGAGGAGGTCAGCAAATATAGTCAAAGGAATGTCAAGCATCATCAGGGATTTTATAAACTTCAAGTGCAGCCATGTTTCTTAGTCCCTACGGTTTGATAGCAGGTTCAGTACAACCCAGGACACATGGCACCAGCCTGGTGTAAAACATTGCAGTTGCAATTCCATGTTCACATTAGTTCCAAATAGTCTCAGTGTCCCTACAAGTAAATTTCTGGCCCATCTCCAGAGATTGTTACTCTCACATGAAACAAAGGGGGTTTAGAAAGTTGTAACTGTAGAAAATTTGAAGACAAACCTCCAAATACTTGCATGAATTAAAACTTGCTCTTTTGCACCCACACTTGGTAGCTGAAGCAACAGCAGGATTTTCCCAGAGGAACATTTTCTGAGGAATTTGAAGCATGGGGTCCATAACTGGGTATGAGGTATGGTTTTGTCCAGCGCAAACAGATGGCCCAAGCATTGGCTTTCCTGTTTGGATCTGGGTGGGTCCAAATGAGAGAGTTTTCCCTGGGGTTTCCCTAGGAACTGAACGTACTAGCCAGCAGCTAGTGGGTGATCATACTACTTGGTTACATTCAATCTCTTCTCAACTAGCAGCCAACGTGATTTTTTTAAACTAAAGTCAGTTCACAGGACATGTCTGGCCAAAATCCTTTCGTGCAAATATATGCCTCTTACGAGAAGCGTATAGATTTATTTTTATAACCAGTGTGGAAGCTTCTGTGTTTTAATAATATTGTCTATGAACAATTACTTGAACCATATGAATTTGCTGTTTTTATAGGTCAAAAACAGTCAAACATTGACAATCCATATGGCTAAAGCTAATATTTTAATTATTCATTGTTTAAACTTATTTCTGCCATCTGTATATTTTACATTCACATTTTCTGTTGCTTATTTTTAATTTTAACTATTTCTCTTTTCATATTTTTGGTACATTTGATTGAGTTTTCTTTGTTCTGCATTTTTTCCCCCTTGTCCTGTTAGGAAGTTATATATAATATATCCTCTACTATTTTTTTTCAATGACTCTCATGAAAATTTAACAAATATATTTGGAATTTAGCTAATATCATTTAGAAACTAAAGTCTTCCCCTGACCAGGAGAAGAATTTCATAAAGTTTCACTTTCTTCCTCCCACATACTCATTCTCCTGGTTGTCATTTATTTATAAATTTTAGTTTCTGTTTCCTTATACTACATATGTAGACCTGCTAGAGCCAAATCATATTTGATCAGTTTCTTCACTCACTATTTTCTCTGGCATCTGTCGTCCTCCACAGTTATTTCATTGTTTTATTGAGGCACATGCTCAGTTATTACAGAAAAGGCCTGTGGGAGTTAAACTCATGACCCCTTACATATATCTAAACCAACTGTTAACTGTATTTTGAGCAAGATTCCCCATAAAATCTAAAACTCTATTTCCACTCAAGAGTCCAGAAATATTACTTACAGACTTACATCTCTCTTTCCTCTTGACAGGGTGAGTTTATGTGATGCCATTTCAAGTAAGAAATTAAAAATTAAAAATAGAAGGACGCAAACAAAGTTTGGAGATATAGAGTAATCCACCAATTAGTAAAAAGTCTGGGGAAAATGTTATTACATCAAAGAGGAAATTGGAAAATATTTTCCTAGAATTACATAATTTCTTTTTATCTCAAAAATATATCCGTTCTCCTGTTAGCATAAAAGGGAATAATTGATTGTCATAATGCTGCGATATTTAGCTGTTTGAGAGAAAATGCATTTGGTATGAGATATTCAAGTTACAAGTGTAACCAGTTGAGTTGCTTAACCACCCTTCAAATTCACATGCAGTAGATAGCCCCCAGTGTGTGGTTATGAGCAGTCTTTCTTACAGATAATCACAGTATTCCTCCAAATATGATGCCATTGTCACTAAAAATCAGATTCTATCTTTTCCTTCTGGGCTGGACCAGCTTAGAAGATGAGCGGGCCAGACCAGTAGCATAAGAAGGTCTTCCATAAAGCTTTCCCCAGGGTCTTCTTTGTTCCTTCAGTAAATCAGCTCCCTTTTCTAAGGGGAAGGAAGCACAGAACTCAGAGAAGATGGGAGGGAGGATGGGAAGCTCACTCCCAATTATTCATTGGCTCCCTGCGGCCTCCAGGATAATGCCCAAGTTTCCCCTGTGGACACGTACACCTCCCATTCTCTGTGCCCGGCTGACATTGCAGGCCCATCCATATCACAGGGAATAGTAGGGGAATGAGAGAGGAAGCAGGGACCAGACCAGATGAACCTTGGCTTTAGCTCCAAGTGAGTTGGGAGCCATTATAGGCTCTAGTCAAAGAATGACAGGCTCCACCTTGTATTTTATTCTACTCATTCTTCTCAAATACACCCCACATTTCCATCAAAAAGACCCATTCACTCCGAATGCCCTCTCCAAGCATCCCTGCCCATGGAAACCTCATTCCACCTTCAGGCCCCATCTCCAAGGCCCCTCCTACAGAAAGCAACCTTGATTCCTCCAGCAAAATGTGCCTCCTCCCCTGGATTAAATCTTAACAAACACCCCCAAGTACTTCGCTTTGGCCAAGATTTTGCATTCTCTGCCTTGTACTATTAGCGGTTGACTGCCAAAATCAGATGTGTCTTGCTCTGAGCCTCAGCTGGACAGCAAATCCCTTGGACATGGATGAGCCTTTGTACAGCAAAACAATTCTGTGATGTGAGAGAAGCCAGGTGTCTCCATAAGCTCTGCAACTTGGATTCTGGGCCATCAGTCACCTGCCAACAGTGATGCCAGCAGACCCAACAGTTCAAGTTCATCCCCATGTCTAAAAACATAATGAGTGGGGAGACTCGTGGTCAACAGGGTTAAGACCGAATTATCATTCAATCAATTTTTTCCAAGTAAATTGCTCTAGACATAAACACCTCCTGTTATACTTCTGGTGTCACTGACAGGGGCTCCTTGTCTCCTGCCCTCATTTGGGGACTTGTATGGTGCTGTCATCTTTGTGATCCTTGTTTGTCATGTTTTTCACTTCAGGGTGAAGACCTCACAGAGGTATTTGTGGACTTCACCTGTCCCCTTCCCCATAGATCCTTGCTCAGAATATTTTCAGATGAAATATTTTCATAGCTTCTCCAGGTCTGTTAGCCTTCAATTGAAAATAAGCAACAAAAAGTGAGGGACCAAAGGTAAACTTCTGCCTCTGTTACAATAGGATTTTGTGCCACTGTATCAAAACTTTGAAAATGTTTATATGTGGAAACTTTACATGAGAGTCAGAGACAACTGGAACAGGCCCATCTGCAGTGCCTGGAATTCTGTTCGATGTGATGGAGAGGGTTTCAGATGACTACAGCAGGATGTTTAGGTGAGGCAGCCACCTGGAGGGGATTTGTTGAAAATAAATCCTTTCAAAGAAATTCTAGCATGAGCACCAGATTACAGATCTGAAAAAAAAAACAAGGCATGGAACAGCAGATCTTCCATCATTCAGCCCTTTACAAGCCCTCCTGAGGCCAGTGGGGGAAGTCACAGTAATTACGTGGCCAAGGGAGGCTTGTTTGTATTGCAATGAGAGATCTGTGTCAGAGGGTGCAGGGTACACAGAGCCAGCTGGGAAGAGTTCTTTTCAGCTTTATTGACAAATATACCCTCCTCCTTCTTGCTGCAGGAAACTGTGATGACCACGATGACCATTTCTTGCTGCAATTTAAACCAGAGTGCAGATGTCATGCAAGCAAGCACCCAAGGGAGATCAGGGCCAAGTAATACTCCATGACCTGGATACTTTTTCCCGATTCTCTGCCCAGCTTCATGATGGGCTTACTCTCTTTTAAGGGCAAAACAGTTTGTGGTGACAACAATGTAAATCAAAATCTAAGACAAAGTAAACATGTGACTTGGGCCAAACCTAAGATCTCTTTGTGAGAGTCTTTTATGGGCACTGGGATGACATCATGTGAGAAAGCGCCTTATGTTCCCTGGCCCTAATCTCTGCAGGTTTACTGGAAGAATCATCAAAGATGTCATCAACATGGCTTCCCATAACTTCCTTGGCCTGGCAGCCAAGTGCGATGAATCCATCAGAGCAGTAAAGGATGTGTTAGAGACATATGGCTTAGGTGTGAGCAGCACCAGACAAGAAATGAGTATGTGCTGTCAGTATTTTGAAATTTTGTCCGGTTGGGTCTCAAATTCCTTGTGATTACTTCTCAAATCCAGATCATATATAGACTGTGTGCCTCAAAAAGCTGTTAGAAAATGAGAAAAGAAAAAGTTGTGTGAAGGTCTTTTTAGAAATTTTAAACACAATCTTGTTACCAAGTAGCTTATTAAGATTTTAATTCTCCATAATAAATGAAAATGGTTCTTTTTCTGAACACATTATCTAAAATAGCAGCTATTGTGCCTCTTCCACCTGGTCCTTTTCTGAGTTTTTTTCTCCCACTTCTCTTTTTCTTTTTTTGACAGCTTTGTTGAGGTATTAATTGATATTCCGAGAAAAACACTGTACTCATTTAATGTACATAATTTGATGAGTTTGGACATATTCATACACCTGTGAAACCATCACCATAATCAAGGTAATAAACATATCTATCACCCCAGGAAGTGTCAATGCCCCTCTTTTTTGTGATAAGAACACTTAACATGAAATCTACCCTTTTTATCTATTTTTTCCTAAATAAAATTTTATTTCTATTTATTGAAGTATAGCTGACTTTTATATTAGTATATTAGTTTCAGGTCTATATCTAGTGATTCTATATTTAGAGATCTACCCTTTTAACACATGTTTCAAGTGCACAATACAGTATTGTTAACTACAGTCTCTATGTGGTAGGGCAGAGGTCTAGAACTTATGAAACTTTGTGCCCATTGAACAGCAACCTCCCTTTTGGGATGGGCCTTTTTCCCATTCTTCTTAATGATGCTCATCGCTGATCTTGCTTTTGTTCTTCTGTATCGCCCATCTCTGCTACTAAAACATAAACTTCATGAAGGGAGGAAGCGGTCTTGTTGACTGTTGTGTTGAATGAATGAATGATAAATGATGAATGAATGAATGGAAAAGGAGAAGCAGACTGCCTACTTATTTCTCTTTTAGCTGAAACACTTTTCTCTTATTCAAAGGAGCAAAATCTCTGAGAAGCAAACTTCTGCTCCCCCCACTTCGGGGAGGATGAGCAGACAAGCCTGTGCTTGTAGAGAGCTTGGCTCTTCCAGGTACCTTGTCTCTCATACAGCATCTCATTCATTCCTCACAAAACCCTGTGCTGAAGGGCAGCACAGATGGTGTTGTTCCCATCCTCAAGGAGGACACTGAGGGTCACAGTGACTAAGTGACGTGCCCACAGGGCCGGATTCCCCTTCCTAACTCTCAGTCTAGCTCAGCTTCTCCACTAAGCAGTTTCCCATCCAGTTTAATCCATGCAGGGCTCACCAGGTCAGTTTCAGGCCTGTCTAAGAATCAGAGGTAAATCTGCTAATAATGGATTTACCATTAATGAAAAATAAGCCACATGCTCCTCTTAGATAACCAGTTGACTGAAGGGCTTTAGAAACATGTGCAACAAATAGCAGTTCAAATTGAACAAAGTAAAATTTTACCTACATATCAAGTCAACACTTTGCTAAAACTCCAGAGTGTATAAGTGGTTGCCCAGATTTCTTAAGAAAGACACTGTATCTTTATTTTAGGCATGAGGGCTGCAGAAATAAGGAGAAAGCAGAAGGGAGGTTCTACTCTTTTAGAAGAGCTAGGTCGCCATCAGGGCCGCATTTGGAGATGGGGCAGAGCCTGGAAGGGTTCCCCAGTTGCAGAAACATGAAGTCAATAAACTTTGGGGATGTTTTCCCTGGTGTTGGTGATTGTTCGTCAGAAAACACATTCCTAATGATGATGACTCCCCAACTCACTGAGAACACTCCCCAGTCACAGCCACCAAAAACTGAAGGGAGGCAGCTTGGCAGTGGAAGACAGATGTAGAGGATGGGCTCCTGAAACCACAGGCTCCACAAACCCAGAGAAACCAGGCAGAGAGGAAGAGCTGGGTTTGGATGCCTGCTGCCTAGATTCTTTTTCCACCTCCACATCCTTCTGAATTGCTGGGCTTTTAATATTGCCTTCCTTCATTGAGCTCTCCAACTCAAGCTCTAGTAAGAAGATTTTAACACTTTTTAAGTAAATAATGAGAGGGAAAAATAAAACCCACCCACACTAATTTTAGGCAAACAGAAGAACTGAAAACAAGGATACAAAGGATCACAAAATAAAGGAATAAACAAAGTACATTTGAAAATATTCTGCAGGATATATAGTAACCTCAACATAGCATGCACAAATTGGTAGCACAATTTGAATGCCTTTTATTTCAATAAATACAAGTAACTTTTGGAAAATGTATGCTACATAGTCTTAAGAAGATGTTTAACAGGATCAACGAACTAACAACGAAAATTTTGGAATATAGAAACTTAAGAATTTCTAGTAACAAAAATAGCTTCTTGAGGAATCAAAAGTTTAATCACTTTAAAGGACTTCCCTGATCTTTTAAAAATAGTTTCCAATGTTCTAGAGGAAAAAGAACACAGAAATTTTGTTACAAAATAGGGAAATTAAACAAAAATGAATTCAATAGGAAGTATTTAATATACAGTAAAAAGTAAAAATCACACATTTAATTTTGACCAAAAATATACAACTAGAACATACTTGCCTACAGAAAGCAAAGGAAGGAGATCTGGCCAAAAACTAAACTCAGTCATGCACTGTACTAAAACAAAAACAAAAACAAAAACAAAAAAACAAAACAAAAAAACCCTAAATTAAAATTATTCCGATGGGTGAGAAGCAGAAAGATAGGTCCCAGCCAGGCACCTGGTTCCTGTCTCCCTGCTGAAAACAACATGAAATGCCCTCAGTGCCCAAGAGGGAGGTCAAGTCAGTGGAAGGGGCAGCAAAAAGAGCCCAGGAGTAGGGTTGTTTGCTAAATCTGCACCTACACATGTTAAAATTAAGACGAAAGTAGAGCTGTAAGTGACACACTTCCAGACAGATATGTACAGATTTGCAAGCAATATTTTAAGATGTGAAATGATGTGTACAACTGAAAGATGGCAGGATATGGAATTCAGGGAGACTCTGACCTTTGAGTGGATCAATTTAATGCTCCACAAGCTGACAGGGGTAGGATGATTGTGCTATTCTTTTTTCTTTTTTTAAAACACGTTTATTGTGATATGCTTTCTGCAGAGTAAACTACATATATTTCAGATGTACATGTTGATGAATTTTGATAGATGTGTACACCAATGAAACCACTAACACAGTGAAGATAGCACCCCAGGAGGTGCAATTTTCAAGTTCCCAATATATCCCTTCCCACCTTAACCCCTGGTAACCAGAATTTTATTCTCTATGTCTGTGAGTCTGCTTCTATTTTGTAGGTAAGTTCATTTGTCCTTTTAAAAAAGTTCCACATAAGTGATATCATATGGCATTTTTCTTTCTCTTTCTGGCTTATTTCACTTAGAAAGATGATCTCCATGTCCATCCATCTTGCTGCGAATGGAATTATTCCATTCTTTTTTATGACTAAGTAATATTCCACTCCATTCTGATTAGTCTGAGGTGATACCTCATTATAGTTTTGATTTGTGTTTCTCTGATAATTAATAATAGTGAGCATTTTTTATGTGCATATTGGCCATTTGTATGTCTTCATTGGAGAATTGCTTTTTTAGGTCTTCTGCCCATTTAAATGTCCATCGACAGATGACTGGATAAAGAAGTTGTAGAATATTTACACAATAGAATACTACTCAGCCATAAAAAATAATAAAATAATGCCATTTCCAACAACATGGATGGACCTGGAGATTGTCATTCTAAGTGAAGTAATCCAGAAGGAGAAAGAAAAATACCACATGGTATCACTTATATGTGGAATCTAAAAAAAAAAAAAAGAGAAATGAATTTATTTAGAAAATAGAAACAGACTCACAGACATAGAAAACAAACTTATGGTTATCAGTGGGGTAAAGAGGTGGGAAGGGATAAATTAGGATTTCAAGATTTGCAGATACTACTATGTATAAAATGGATAAACAACAACTTTATACTCTACAGCACTGGTAACTATAGTCAATATCTTGTAGTAACATAATGAAAAAGAATGTGAAAATGAATATATGTATGTATATGTATGACTGAAACATTATGTTGTACACCAGAAATTGACACAACATTTTAAACAGACTATAGTTACATAATAATAAAAAAAGAAAACAAGAGCTTGAAACGTCTTGCAGAAAAGATCCCTGATTCCCAGTAGGACCATCCCAAATAATCCAGCATGGGATTGAAAAGCCCCAGCAAATCCACAACCCACCAAAAATCATACTAGTTTTCCTGTCAAACATCAATCCTTTATATGCTACCTGGTGCTTAACCAAGATCTTGAATGACATTCTCTGCTGAAAACGATATGCAAATGTTTCAGAAAGATGCTATCCCTTAAAAGAATCCCCATCTCCATCAGCTAATTTCTCTAGAGGACTTTATCCATATAGACACCAATTGAACTCTTGGCCTTTTAAAATTAAAGAGGGTTTGGGGAATCTGTGTTACACATCTTGAAGTGTCTTCCTGTTCCCACATGTGTTTTCCCTTCACTTTATTGGCCTGTGTTTTGTGTGCTTCTTTTCCACACAGGGGTGCCTCATTTTAAGTGATGAGTTAAACCACGCATCTCTTGTGCTCAGGGCCCGCCTCTCAGGTGCAACCATAAGGATCTTCAAACACAACAGTGAGTATCAATGTCTTTATCCAAGATGTACTGCTTGCTTTTAGATGAAAGTAAAGATGATTGATGGATGTTTGTCCTTGCTCTTCAACTGGGAGCTTAGCCTACTGATACACAGTTATGTTTATATTCACTACTGGCTTGTTAACCTCTGATGACCTGGGACAAATGGTTAAAATGCATTAAACACCCATACTGCTTAGTGTAACCCAAACACATTAGTGTTGCTGTTATTAGGGGTCTTGTGATGTTACTTCTGAGAACATGACTGATCTATTAGGCTGTGTGTAATTATCATAAATGTAAATTGCTTCCTTTTTTGTAACTCTGTCTTGGAAAAT